GCAGATTTTGTTGAAGTTGGAAATATTGTGAATGATTAGAAAAACAATTATTGGATTCGGCTTTGGAATAATATGGAGAATTAGGATGATCTCGAACGGTGTTATCCGCCTTCTCGATCTGCACACAGGGTCCAGAGGAGTTTCGTGTGAATAAATGAATTACGTATTTAAAGTCTTACCTTGAAAAATGTTATCAAAAATTTATCTTATCCGATATTTTTTACCCTTTTTTTAAATATATTCAGTAAGACCACCCCTTACAAAGGTGAAACAAAACGTCGCTCCCTTTTTTTACTTTAAGTTGTATTTTGGGAACGTGAACTAAATGCGATTTTCGTTTCTACTATAGCTGCATTTTTGCCACGTACAGGTGGAGCGTGATTATTCAATCTTTGCCCTTAGCACTAGTAAAATATATGGAAAAGAACCTCGGTATAACGAAACCTCGTTATAGAAAACAGATTTTGCCACATCCTTGTCCCTTCGTAGTATCGAGGTTCCACAGTAACACATGAGACGAACACGGCTTGTCCTTTCAATCAGCCTTCTCGAACAATGCTCACTTCAACGTACTTGATTCCCACTTTTTCGCTGCTGTCATCAGCGTATATTTCCAGAAATAGGCCTTTTTGAGGATTAAGCTTGCTTTGGAAAATCATCTCACTGCTGAAGCCGCCATCGTGGGAAGTAAAACAGGTTCCCCACCGGTCAGACAGGCTTAGCTTGGTCTCGACCCTTCCCGGGTAGTAAGACTCGGCAGGCTTTGGCAAAGGCGAACCATAACGAAGATCACTACCAAAAGTGTTGCCGCTGCTTGCTTCCATAAGAAGACAAGGTGTCGAAGTTTTGTAATTGTTTTTGTCGCGTATTTGAACACCAACAAAAAACTGACCATCGGAAATCACGTACGAGGGATCGCTTTCTCCCTGACCGATGTCAATGTCGGTCCCGATGACCATTTTTACAACAAGGTTTGCATCGGCGTTTAGCGTTTCTGCTGGAATAGGTGGCACTTGTATGAGGCGAGCGAAATGCACTGGTGCTCTCAGGAATTGAAGATCAGTTTGGTGGCGGTCACAGTATGTTGATGGTAGATAAAGCTTGCTGCTTTCACTAACTTCATGGGTGTAAACAGCTGGTAGTAAGGAATTTTTTCCTGTAGCAAAAAGTATAAGTTTTAGTGCAAATCGTAATTACAATGCTGTGGAACCTCTATCTACGACCACCTCTCATAAGCGACCACTTATCCAAAACACCAAAATTTCCCAGTAAAAGCCTTATAGTTGGAAACTCTCGTAAACGATCGCCTCTCGCAAGCGAAGCGACCATGATCACTTTTTAGTTTGGCGGTTTCAGATTTTTCTATTCTTTTTAATCTCTTCTTAGCGACATTCTGATACAATGGTCTGATCTTATTAGTCTGTGTTCGCTGTATATATGCAGTACGCTAGACTCAGAATATGTGAAGAACGTATGGGAACAACATGAATTTGCATACTTTGTAACCTAACAATTGCATACAATACATGTATATTCCCCCCGAAAAGTAGTTGTGGCCGGACTTCTTTTCGTAAAGGGCCTATGCGGTTCGATTCTCGTAAAATAAGCGACCACCTGCCGTATTAAAGCGACCACTAACTCTTCGCATTTTGGGTGGATTACACCCTTTTTTTCTAAGAATTTTCTTTTATCCGGCCAAGAATGAATATTCTTATTCGTCTGCCGATTATAGGCTGAAAATATTCCTGTATTATTCTTAAATTATAGCTAATGACATTTCCGTTTTAGAACTACAGTGAAACCTCTATTTTAAAAGCGGACACATTCGGGACCTTCCCAAGTGTCAGCTAGAGGTAGGTTGAAAAAATTGCGCAGTGTTTGTTAACGATCAACAGTCAACGGTTACTCTGTACTGTGATAAAGTTGCACGTTGTTAAAGAAGCTATCCAGAGTTCGAGTTCATTACCTTTCATTACTAACTTTAATTTGTTTGTAAATGGAAAAAACATTAACTATGACTTCAATACGTATTTCAAGGACGTAATCCAATACTACCATTGTCAATTCAGTCCGATGTCCGCTTAATAGAGGTTTTTAACAATAGAAATTAGCCAAATACAACTTATTTTAGTGTCCGCGTCCGCTTAATAGAGGTGTCCGCAGAATAGGGGACTAGGGAATAGGGTTCGTTATAAAGGGAAATATCAGACGTTCGTTTCGGGACCAGGCTTTGTGTTTGCAGTTAATAGAGCGTGTCCGCTTAACTGGGGGTCCGCTTAATAGAAGTTTCACGGTACCTTATTCTTCTTTATTTTCGCGGGACTAAAATTTCGCGAAAATTTTCGGGGCACATTTCGCGAGTCTTTAATTTCGCGATTGTACGTTACTCAACAATTGAAACAAAACCAATATGCTGTCCCTTAGCGGCAGCTGTATTCCTCTAAAAATCAGTCTTACAGAAATAAAAAAAGTCTTCTTGTTCTTCCGAGTCATTATCGAGTATCGAGAGTATCTTTACCTTTCCTTTCTAGGGGATCTCAATAGAACCTTCAGTCTCTTCAAATGGATCCTCAGGGGGAAGACTAAACGATTCATCTAACAGTTGGGCGATGCCAACCTTTTCCCACCCTTTAGTGTACAGCCCTTCGTGGATTCCATGTTTACAAAGAAATTTGGAAGCCCATCGTCGGGCAGCTTTTGAGATGTTCTCACAAACGAAACAATCTACGATCGTTACGCAATCGCAGCTAACAAACGGCTCCGTGGTTGCCTGGCCGATTCGATTATAGGCCATTTGCCCAGAGAGATTTCTAGAGCTACTCGCTTTTTCTTATTGAGAGGTGGGATGGTTCATCTTTAAAGTTACTGATGAAAACTATCGTCGATCCCCATTGATTCAGGGAGGTCTGGAAATTCCTGTTGAGGTGATATGTGAACTGTACGAAACACCAAGGAACAGGGCAATAATGGAAAGATACAAGACACTCGTAACTACACACTACAAGGAGCCGGGACAGGATGGTCAATTTGACGACTGTACAAAGGAAGTATTGGAGGAACTGTGCGAAGATGATTACTCAGATGCCGATGAAGAACTTGAGGCGAATCTTGACACTGATTAACATCTAAAGTTGATAGATGATAGCTCCTTGTACTAACACCTTGTGTTAAAATTGTTTGGGACCCTTGAAAGCACAAATACATGATTTTGCTATGTCCATTAAATTTCGCGGGATCAAAGTTCGCGGTCGTCATTTTTCGCGGGTCTTTAAGTTCGCGAATTTTTTAAAATCGCAAAAATAGCGAATTTAAGAACCCGCGAAAATTAAGGAGAATAAGCTATATATTGGGGCATCAGTCATAGTTAGTGCAGGACTTTTGGTCTTGTTTGCAAGTTTTATCGTCTAGAGAATGGAATAAGTTGAAAACATACAATTGTATTGTATTTACAGTTTTTGAACACACAAAATTATATCCTTTTCAAAACCTCAGCCTTGGGTTTATTCTTAAAATATTCTTAAAATTTCTCAAATTTCAGCCTCGATATTCATTGTATAAAATATATTCTTATAGTTAAAAAAAGAGTGTATAAAATATGCGCTGCCGAATAGAACTAGTCGTTGCGTTACGCCTCATTAACCGCGTTGAACAATTCTGTTATTAAAACTGTTTCTTTATTCGTATTAAAACCGTCCTCCTCGCAGTGGAAATTTTGCGTCGGCAAGTTTCAGCTGACTGTCCTTGTTTCACGGCGAAATTATTTCTCGTTTTGTGGCGCCTTTATGTTTCAGTTAAGGTGTAAGCGTGTGTCAGGGAAATTGGATATATTTCACGTGTGTTGCGTGGGCTTTTTCCGCAGTGTGATCATGTGAAGATCTTGGCCTTTGGTTGTAAGTGGCGAAACATGCAATTTGACATACAGAGAAACAGGTATTTCTTGGTTCCTATTAACTGTTCATGTATAAACGAAAATTTAAGGGCTGTTTTCGGGAGTTTTAAATTTCGCGATTTTTGAGAGAAATATTGTATTCAATAGTTTTCGAAACAACATTTAAAGGGCTGATGGAGTGTAACATGTTTCTAACTCATGGTTACGTTGGGTAGGGTGAGTATACTGAAAAGTGCGGCGAAGAAAGGTAATGTTCTTACCTAAAACTAACCTCATCAAGTCTGCAATTCACAGGATCTCTGAAAATTTCGTTGTTTTATGTAATATTTCGATAATTTTCGCGAGAGATGATAACTTATTACAACTACAAGTAGATAAGAGCCTTATGAAGAACTATCCTTCGAGGATTATGTTCAGTAGACCATAAAGGAATGGTGGAGCTTTTACAATTATCCAGATTGTGAAGTACCAGAAGTACAATGTTTTACCACAAAAACTGAAGATTTGACAAGGTGTTTTATTACTATATAGTTTCGTACTACACGATGGTGTAGCACTCTTCAGATAAAATAGCCAGATTGTGAAGTATAGAATTAGAATTCTCTCACCTTGGTCTCTGCTGAAGAATGCTGCACTGATAACAGTGCAGCTAAGAACATCAACACTAACATTATGACGAATCGTTCCGGAGTGCGGTAGAGCAGAAATAAAGGGGAAAATTGAATATGAAATATAATTATAATTATTTCGAAAGTGACAACGTCTCAATTTGCAACTTCTAATCGGATAACTTTTACATGATCATGATTGACAGCTGAATGCAACTTCGTTCCCTCCCAAAGGCCGCTTTACCAATGTTCCCGTTGCCTGTCCGCTGGGGGTAGAGTAACGCGACCTCTGGGAGCGCGTTTGGGCACTCATGTGCACTAGAGTGCAGTGACTTCAAATCAGTTTTAGATGTCGAGCGTCATGCACCTCTAGCCTCGTATCAGTTAATTGTGAAAGGCGTGGAATTCGATTTATTTTGAACGTCTCCATCGTTCTGGTGTGTGAGGAAACCGTAAACGCAAGCTTCTTTTTGCGTTTTGACTGTTTACAGTCTCTTACTTTCCAGAAGTAGACCGGGCGCTTGTATAACGGGTGTTCATCTTGATTTTAAATGTACCAAGGGGGTGTGCTAAGGGTTGTATAGTATCGGGGTGAATGGCCACCGTCCGAGTTCCCCACGCTATACGCCCTAAAGCCCCCACCCCTCGGTACATTCGAAACCAAAATGGCCTCCTGTTTTAAATACGGGGCTGTTTTAAGCGGGTAGCTTGGCTTTTTTTGTAATTTTTTTTAGCAGTGATGAGTCTTGTCTGACGCCACACAAAATGGCTTTGGCGAGCGCTCCCTAAACGTCTTTTGTTAATTCATTCACTTTTGCGTCAACCAGAATAATCGTATCTTCTGGGCTCAAACCTTTTCTTATAACGACAGATACTAAGTGATCAGTTGGCTTTTTATTTATTATGAAATTTACGCGTAGTTAGCAGACGCGCCCTCGCGTGACTTTGTGCGCACCCTTGTCTCGTCTCGTTTGCAAAATGACTGGGTATGACTTGCAATTGTGTCTGAGGTACAGAATAGAATTTGAAATAAAGAACAGAAATGAAATATTGTTCATGAAAAGAGACGAGAAAACTGATCGTCAAACCAAGTCTCATGAGCTGGCGTTGGCTTCCTTACAATTAATGACCTGAAACAACCGCTGGCCCTGACAGATATGGGCAGACTCAACGGTAGGCAAGAACCACAGACAGTTGCAGACGGAAAGTACCGGGCACTTCAGATGGAGCTTACATTCCCAACCTATGACACTACGTGAAGTTCTTAGATATGACACATGATCGGGTTACCAAGCTTCTCTCAACCAAGAGTAAGGCCTGGACACCAATTACTTGTTGCTGCTTTGTAATATTTCTAATAATTCGAGGAGACACTGTTGTAATATTCAATTCTAATTTATCCTCGATGGTGAGAAAAGTAGATTATGACAGACTTTTTATAAATCATAAGTGTGCTGCAATAATGTGATTAATGATTTGGCATGAAAAGGATACAAGACGGTGAGCGTCTTTCCCTCTCTATTGGGAATTTTTAGCATCTCAAAAAATATAAGGAATGTCGTTATCCTTTGCCTAACTGCCTTTCTGCGTCATCGTAACTCGAAGTGTTGTTTTTTCTTTTTTTTTTTTGAAAGTTTTTATTTTTTAATCTTCACGCATTTTCACAACCAAGGTCGACCATATCACAAAATGCTATATTGTTTGAAGAATTACATGCGTTTCCAGCGCTTAGTCGAAAATCCCAAAGGAAAAATAATGTTATTGTTAATAATTAGGACTACAGCCAAATTACTTATTTAGGCATTCGACATGCTGCGGGACACATCATCTTATTTAAGGAGAGTTGTTTGTTTCATGGCTATATTTCAGCATACGAATGATCATGAAATGCATCCATTCAACAAGGCAAAATCTTATTTTGTCTTGTTTTCAATCTGTAGAAATTTTGTACGGAAAGTTTTTTTTTTATTAATATTAATGTCAAAAGAAATGTGGATTCTAAATGTGGAACTAGTAAGAATATAACAGAATACTGACAAAAAGTTTCTTTCATCAAGCTGTGCTATTTTCCTTTTCAAAACTGGTTGTTATTCTGGTTTTTCGAAAAGATGAGAATTTTACGTCATGTCACCATGTGTTATTTTGGTGAAAAAATGATTAATGAATAATTATAATGATAATAAAATACTCTGTTTTATCCCTTTTATTTGTGGTATCAAAATTTTCATTAGCGCTTTGTAAGTAGACAGACTTAATTAATGTAAGCTTGTCGACGAATGAAATATGCAATAAAAGACAAACTAATTACTTTAACAACTCACTACCTATCTGGACTTGGCTCCAGAAAATATAGATGATGATTCTCAACGTAAAAAGACCAGTTGCTGTTAAACATTGTCAACAATTTATTTCTTCTAGCTAACTGCAAGCTATCTAAACCTTACACCTATATTTTCAGTCAACCAATTACGCCTACATAATAAACGTTTCAATCCAGGACTTAAAACTGATGATGCAATTGAAATATTGCATCAACTACAGGGCTACAGCTGTTTTCTGACCATAATTTAATAAGATCCATCTTGGAAAAAAAAAATCATCAGCTCAGTCTATTTTGGCGGTTAGCGCAACATCTCATTTTCATCTCAATCTGGGCCTAGGAAAGATCATTGAACTGAACCTGCCAAAAGACCAATTTTGTTTGATATATTGAAATTCATACTTGGCAACGGTGTTTGGAGAAAAAAAACAAAATAAATTTTTTTTGGTCATTCCTCAGAACCTCTAGGCAGTTTTCTTCTATTTTAATCCCCCAAGTCTCGGAGAGAAGTGTAAATTTTTACATCTCGAAGTTGGTATACTTTCTAGAAATAGCTGGCGTTCTGTTTACTGCGCTTTTCACAAACATGCGAATTCTGAAGTTCAAAAGCCAACTGACGATTGCTTTTTTCGCTGCCGTCAATCATCTTAACGGACCTCTTAGGAAACAAAACTTTACTTTAACGGGTTCAAAAGGTCAAGGTTTTTTATTTGTGATTGGTGGATTAGGATCCGTTTTGTGTGTTTCTGTGTTTCAATGTTCGTTGCTTGTGATCGTAATTATCATTGACGGCAGCGAAAAACGTAATTGTGAAGGCGGCTTTTGAACTTTAGAGTTCGCATGTTTGTGAAAAGCGCAGTAAAACTGCAATCGATAACAATCACTTTAAGTTTTCCAAAATCTTCGCTATACTGTTAATTTTGAGATCTTAGAGAGATTTAAACGCGCATAAGGCAAACGGCAAACGTCATATTCAAAATTAAGATAATTCTAATGAATTAAACTGACATGAATTTTTTTCGTAGGAGTAATGACCAGGAAGCGACATATAAAAGGAAGACTTGGTCACGTGGTAGAAACTGGCGTTTGCCATTTGCCGTAGTCGGGATGCTAAGTCTCTCTTTTGTTAGGGAACTCATACATAATACGTGTAATTACTTCCTGACTGGTTTAAAAGCCATCTTTCCAGTACAACCCAATACGTTGAAGAAGACAATGTAGAATATATCCTTCTTGAAACTGTTTGTGAGGTGCTTCAGGAATTCTCACTTGGTCCACTTTTCTTTGTATTTTTAAGACAAGTGC